TTTAATTTGATGGTAACTGTTCTGAGAATATATTAACTCATTGAGTGGCAGCATTCTGCCTAGACTTGCCACAAGTCGACCTCAAACGAAACGCAAGCAGCGAGCGTGAGCCGACGTTTCGTTCGAGGTTGACTTGTGGCAAGTCTACATTCTGCCTTTGAGTAAAATTGTCTGGCACCAGACGGAGTAATATACTAAAGTAGGGCACATTGCCACTATAAAGGGTTAAACAAATTTTAAAAAATGTTTGCAATAGTCTATATTCAAAAACCTCTATTTGTAAATTTCAATTGACTTTTATATACCTACTTATACTTATACTTATAGCTACCTTGCCCAGTCACTTCAGTTGAATTCTACGGGAGGGACATTGAAAATCCCTGGATTTACTTGGTAAAAGCAAAAATTGAACCATGCATTACATGTATATGGAGAGCAGTTTTAAATATATTTTATCATGCAAATTCCTTGATAATTGTTCTTAAACATCTTTGGCTTAGAATGGGTACACCCCTCAAAGGTGTTTATTTACAGGGTCCAAAGGTGTAAATATACACTGTCGAAGGTGTTAATATAAACAACAAAACAATGTACATAATTAAATTTTATTAAATAAAATGTGGAATATTTTACAAATTGCAATTACCATCCCAAAGTGTACAATTATCAATATAATTAGGACTTAGAAGCTGTTCACATGAGTTTGAATCTGACACAGCACCCTTGGCTAGCTCCCCTTGCCCGATTACAAGTAGAAAACCTCCAACCCCCTCTGACAAATCAGTCCAGATCTGCCCAAGAGGCAGGATTTTCTGGAATATTATTAGCAGTGAAATTGTTGCATATTTTCAAGCATGCATTGTAATCTGATTTTAAAGCCTGTTTGAGCATCAAACATTGTGGCAATGACAAGATGGTCCAGCCATATGAATACAATCTCAAAATATCATAAAAACAATGCAATTTAAGGCCAGACAGCCCAACTCCTCTGAACAGCCCTTTATTACACATTCGAAGCATCTCTTGAGGCATCAAAGTACAAGCATGCACATGGAATTACATACGAGTATGTGACATAAGCCCACCACTGCACAACTTTGTCTGCAACAATGCAAATACAATCAAGCTGGAAATGGATTTTATCAGTATTTTGATATATATATATATATATATATATATATATATATATATATATATATATATATATATATATATATATATATATATATATATATACCAAATATGTATTTAGAATCATATATGAGTAGAGTGCTCGATATATCGAAGTATAGAGCTAATATAGATAAAGATAAAATAAACTTGGTTTACTTCATAAGATTTATTCACTACAAACTTGTTTCGTATGACAAGCAATGCTTGCCACACTCATCAGGTGAATTTAAATGTCGCGCTATGTTGTTGCCAAGGTTATATATACTATATACATGTTTGACGTAAACGGAATGTTCAAGTATTAAATTACGTATAGATTACATATATATTTCTCTTAAGCAATATACATTACTTAATATAATCTGTATATATATGTAATCTATACGTAATTTAATACTTGAACATTCCGTTTACGTCAAACATGTATATAGTATATATAACCTTGGCAACAACATAGCGCGACATTTAAATTCACCTGATGAGTGTGGCAAGCATTGCTTGTCATACGAAACAAGTTTGTAGTGAATAAATCTTATGAAGTAAGCCAGGTTTATTTTATCTTTATCTATATATATATATATATATATATATATATATATATATATATATATATATATATATATATATATATATATATATATATATATATATATATATATATATATATATATATATATATATATATATATATATATATATATATATTTACATTAATATGGCTCATGTCTAAAGACACCTGCACTTTCATATTGAAATTGTTCTAATATCATCAAAACAAAACACATCAGAAAACTGTAACATCAGCCAAATGAGCAAATCACTTTTTTAACACAATTTATGGTAAAATGAAACATGTAATAGTATCTGAAACAAAACCAAATCACATATTATTCAAAAGTTGTAAACACTGTTGCATATTAATTAAACAAAATATCGTCGCATTTCTAGTGGTAACTAACTATAAATTTAATAGGCCAATTTAATCTCGACTATAAAGAATATCAAAAACTAAAGGTCATGTTTCAGTTTATAAACACAGACTTTAGTTTTATAAATATAAACATTAACGCTATACGAAGCCAATGATTCAATGAAGGCAAATTTTGCCCTAAAATACTCGGTCAGAACCTCAGAGGTGTATTTTAGCAAACAATTAATCTTCTCTCACAGTTTAAAAAAACAGTAATACTAACCTTCCACAAATTGTGTATAAATCTTATCGAATTTAAACGTTTTGCCACAGATTTTGCCAAAAATATTTCTTAGACGGACAAAGTAATAATGGACACTCCTTGCGTGAAAATGTTTTAAATTTATCCCGAAGTTTGAATAAATTAATCCAAGATTGCATTATTTGTATTATTAATGTACTTGTAATTGACCAATCAGAATACACAGAAGACCGGCCGGTGCCAGGGCCTTTTCCCGCCTTCCCAGTGACAAAAAGGGAAAAGCCCTGGGAACGAGGTTGCTTTATTGTACGTTGAAAAGAAGCAAATATACAAGCTGTTGAACACGCACGAGGACGCACGATGCGACAGGGAATTTGGTAATGTGTCATTTGCATAAATTTCACCACAGTTATCGTTTCAAGGTAAGAAATTCACGCTAAATTGAGCGAGAAACAATAAAATTATACGAATATTTCAAAGTATATAGTATCGGTCAAGCGGAATTTTTTTATGGTATTTTCGTATTTCCACTGCAAATACTCACGCAGTTCCTTAATATTTAATCTTCCCGTCATATACGTCGGAAATCAATATTGGCCGATCGAATTGAGAAGAGTCTTTATTCTAACTCGAAAAGTGCTATCAAACAAAACTTCATCAGAACCGATTTTTTCATTTATTCTAAAGGTGTACGTCAAGGATGTGTACTAAGCCCCCTTCTTTTCAATATTTATATTAATGAAATAACGACCTTATTTAAAAACACCAATTCGGACCCATTAACACTGCCTAACGGAACAGAACTGAGCTGCCTTCTTTACGCGGATGATCTAATTATACTATCGAAATTCGGCCTCCAGAAGTGTCTGGATAAACTCCATAGCTGGAGTAAGAAGTGGCTAATGGAGGTAAACCTAAAGAGAACCCAAATTATGATTTTTGAAAAAAGGAAAACAAAAAAAAGCGAAACAAATTTTCACACTAGGAAATGAAAAGATATCCGTTTTACAGGAATACCGTTACCTAGGCATAAAGCTTAATCACAATGGTAACTATGCCTTGGCTATCAAACAGCTGAGTGAAAAAGCCCTACATGCGCTCTATAGCATCAGAAGACGGCTCAACCTACACCAACTTAACCCCAAATCTGCTATTAAAATTTTCGACAGCATAATAAGACCCATTCTTCTGTGCAATGCAAAGTTTGGGGTGTGTATATCAAAAACAATTTTAACAGTTGGGATAAACTGCCGGTTGAAAAAGTACACCTAAAATTCTGTAAGCTCTACTAGGGTGTTGGCAGAAAGACGAGTAATATCGCCTCAAGAAGCGAACTTGGAAAATATCCATTAATTATCAATGTATTCAAAAGAATCTTCAAGTACGTCACTCATCTTAACTCACTTCCTGAAACAACCATTTCAAAACAAGCTTTCCTCATATCAAGAGATTTATTTATTAAAAAGAGCAATTCTTTCTATGGAAAAGCAATGGATATAGTGAAAACTTTAAATTGTAATAGAGCAATCACAGACCTAGATTCACTCACAACCAATCTAGTTGAATCATGCGTTAAAGATACTGAAGAAAACTATCAGAGATTCTGGAGACATAAACTTGAAGACTCATCCAAACTTACCTTCTACACAAGCATAAAGGAAGACTATGAGCTTGAAACTTATTTGACTACCATAACTAATTCAAACCAAGGAAAACGTTTAACACAGCTCCGACTAAGTAACCATAAACTAATGATTGAACTCGATAGATACGATATATGTAAGATCTGCCAGGCAGGAGAAATTGAAAGGGAACATCACTTCCTAACATCCTGTGAAGCCTATAGTAGTCTTCGAGAAAAGTTTGAAATGATTTGGTAAGTGATTCCACCAATGAAACAGATTTAAACGAACACAGTTTATCAGTTGAGATAATGAAATCAACTGATAAAGAAACCGTGATAAAATTATCAAAATTTATCTCTTTATGTTTTGAGAAGAGATCTAAACACCTTGAAGCTCGGAATGCTGACAGTCATTAGGCTATCGAACTAACTCCCAAACTTCTTCAAACTACATACATACTGTAAATAGAGTATTCATTTATAAACTAGGTCTTTCTTTATATCAATATAACTTCATTTTTATTCCTTGTATTGCTCACAGTGTCATATTACTACAAAACATTTTGCATTTGTAAATATTTATAAATTAACTAGTAAGCTTTAGCAATACTTGTATGTAAAGTCTTGCTAATAAAGCCATTTGTTACTGTTACTGTTAAAAAAATTAATTTCGAACGTATTTTGATATAAATAATGGTATAAGAAAAAAATTTTCTTAACTAAAATTTAACATTTATTGATCGAATAAAAGGGTTTGACCCATGTTGTGACAGCAAATTGTCCAAAAAAAATTTTTTTGAACTTTAATTAAACGGATGTTCGAGCCGAAAAATTATTTTGACCCTTTTTTTAAACTCCGGGAGAAAATTACCCTCCCCCCCGCTCGTCAACATTTTCGGCAAAAATAGGGCCCCGAAACAAAAAATTGTCCCGGCCCCCGAAATTCTCTGATAGGCCCTGGCTACTATATTTTCAAGTACATGAACTTTGAGAATAAATCGACTAGATTTAGAGTCGCTAGATAACAACGATTCCAAACATATATAAATGTATGTTTCATCAAGTTTTAAAAATTATATCTGGAATTTACTCTCTACGAAAATATATCATCCAATTAATATTTTACTATTAATATAACTCAAAATATAAACACTTTAATTATATTCTTTTTTCTTTTTAACTAGTGCAGCTACGAGAAGTATTCGAGTCGACTTGGAATCGCCACATTACAACGAATCCAAAGATATATAATTAAATAGTCTGTTCAACTGTTTCATCAACCTCGTACCCAGGGCCTTCTGCTGAGGGCGAAGGCCCTGGTAAATGCTGGTCAAATACTCCCAGAATTTAGGAGTATTTTTGAATCTCATTAAAATTTATAATGGCGATCAGGGGGGAGGGGAGTTCGAAGGAGTTAAAATGGAAAGCAATTTAACATGGATGACAAAAGGTTTCAAAAGACAAAATCTATACTTTAATAAGCAGCAATACTTACAATTTCAGTCAAAGGTAAGTTACAAAATACTTTATATATTTTAGTTAAATTGTCTCATGAGACTCATGAATGTTATTGTCGATACGTTACATTACTTAAGATTATGAAAATATACGAATATAAAAGTTTATTAAGGAAGTCTGAAAATATTTACGTGTATTAATAAGGCAATTACAAACTCACAATATCCCTTCAGGTTGTGACTGATGAGAAATTATTTATATCTTACATTCTTTCTTATGCATTTCTTTAACATATAAAAAAACTGAAGAAACGCTCTTACGTCCCTCAGTAAGTCAGTTTATACGATTTCTATGTACCCACGAGGTCATATTTACTCGTTTGAGTTATTTCTATTAATGAAAAATCCTTTTTATTTTTGGGTTTTGTCTCCCATAGCAATCTGCTTTTTGTGCTTTTCTAACCATGTGAAAAGTTCACTCATATTAACTGATGATGTTGGTGAAACAACAATTTCTTTAAAATTGTGATGATATCTGCCTTTCTTTGTGTTGAATGGTTGTAATTTTCGTAGATCCTGAAACATCATGACTTCTTCATTACTGGTTTCCTTGTGTGTATGAGATTGAGATGCTGGTTTGATATTGCTGACTTCATTCACTCTCTTCACTATTTGATCGACACCTGCAGCAGTTTTAGATGCCCTCATCATTGCTTGAGGAGTCTTGTTGGCCCCCATTCCCTTGACAATATCTTTGCTTACACGATTACATATCTCTTGCGCCATATCACATGCTATATTTTTCCCTTCTCCACCATTCCAATTTACAAATCTGCCCCATTTCAAGCGATGAGCCATTTCTTCAGAGCACAGAGACTTGATTTGAGCAATCCATGTGAACATCTCCACAGAATAGTTTTTAAATGAGTTAGATGACTTAAAGTACATTAATAGCCTTTTCTTATTGATCATGCTTCTTTCTCCATCACCCTCTTTACACGTATCGATCAATTGCATGAGGAAAACCACAAGCTCAATAACATTGAGCCCATATGCCCTGTCAAAAAATATATAGAGAATAATACATGGGTGTGCAGAAATACCAGATTTATTTTGAGTGTTAAACATGATATACAGGACAGTCTTTGAAAAGCGATAATTTTTAAGGACAGTCTTTGAAAAGTGATAATTTTTACAGAAAAGCGATGATTGAAAAGCATAATTTTCACATGTGAGATTATCATGAATAATCTCACATGTGAGATTGTCACTTTTATCAGTGCTAAAAATCTCTATAAAGCACTATACTATATAAGAAAAGTCAATTATGAATGGGTATTCCTAAAATATTATTTTTCAGCATGCTACCTACCTTACTTTGTCCGATTCAAAAATTTCTTGCTCTCCTTTTGGCAAAGCATATTCATTTACAAATTCCCCAACAACTTCCTGAAAATATTCTATCTTCTTTTCATTTTCCTGGCTATGGATATCTGCTGGAGGTACATGTTTGGTTGGGCTTTCTTCTAAATTCCCCATTCCCCAAAATTCCATTGCTGCTTCCAAAAGGTATGCTTGACCCACCTGAAGTAGCAGTTGCTCACACCCTTCATAAGAATCAGTAACTTTCTTCGGAGTTACATTACGGTGATTGAATTTTTCACGAAAGAACTTTAAGGTGCCAACTTCCCTGGTCGATTCTGCCTTGTATAGGAGGTTGTATACAAACTAGGATATTAAGCAAATACATTTATATCTTAAAACTTCAAAGGCAACATTGTGTGTTTGAAGTTATTTGGCATATTTATTAATTTAAATTTTATTTCTCTTTTACCTGAACATAGGCCATCTTTGTGTGGAACAGCTCGGCAACAAACGGACAACAATGATCAAAACGATGTTTTGCAGTATTGGCACCAGCTCTTAAATCTTTTGCTCCTGCAAACCTCACCCTGGTCATCTGGTCTCCCCCAAATGGTACAGATATCTTCTTCATATAATCATTCTCGTCATCTTTGCTGAAATGCGCCCTTGCCTGATCTGCTGATGCTGACTGTCTGCCAATTATTGGAGGTGTTTTGCTATTGGTATCCTCAACTGGTTTTTTAATGACATCGGCTTTAACAAAGATGTTTTCCAAATGCTGTTCATAACCATCAAGGATATCAACTACATCTTCATACTTTTTTTCATCTTTCATCATCATTGGTAAAGGAACAATGATTGATTTTTTGGACATTTCTTTCTTGTACGGATGTGCAATATGATTCGGAATGACATG